TAAAATCCCCCCAAAATTCCCATTTTTTATCCATAAAATCCCCCCAAAATTCCCATTTTTTCCCAATTTTTCCCCATTTTTTCCCTTAAAATCCCCCCAAAATTCCCATTTTTTACCATAAAATCCCCCCAAAATTCCCATTTTTTATCCATAAAATCCCCCAAAATTCCGATTTTTTATCCATAAAATCCCCCCAAAATTCCCATTTTTTCCCAATTTTTTCCCAATTTTTTCCTCAGTTTTTACCATAAAATCCCCCAAAATCCCCATTTTTCATCCATAAAATCCCCCCAAAATTCCCATTTTTCCCCATTTTTTTCCCCTAAAAAGAAGAAGGAGCAGCTGAGAGAGGAGCTCAGGGTGGGGCCCCAAACTGAGCCTAAAACTGAGCCTAAAAGTGAGCCTAAAATCCCAGACCTGAGCCTAAAACCCAAAGCTGAGCCTAAAAACCCCAAAGCAACCCCAGAAACCCCAAACAGAACTCCCAAAACCCCAAAGTGACCCCAGACTCAAGAAGGAGCGGCTGACAGAGGAGCTCAGGGTGGGACCCCAAAACTGAGCTTAAAACTGAGCCTAAACCTCAAAACCGACCCCAAAAACCGGAAACCGACCCCAGATTGTCCCGAGTTCCCTTCATTTTCCCCTTCCCCCCATTTCTCTCCCATTTTTCCCCGTTTTTCCCCCAAAATTCCCATTTTTTCCCAATTTTTCCCCATTTTTTATCCATAAAATTCCCCCAAAATTCCCATTTTTCCCAATTTTTCCCCCATTTTTTATCCATAAAATCCCCCCAAAATTCCCATTTTTTTCCCATTTTTTACCATAAAATCCCCCCATTTTTTCCCATTTTTCCCCCATTTTTCCCCTAAAAACCCCCCAAAATTCCCATTTTCCCCAATTCCGTGCACGATTTGCAATCAGCTGCTACAAACCATAAATCGATTTATTTCCATTTTTTGCTCTGTACAACTTTAATGGAGAAATCTCAGAAACGACAAAAAAATCCAAATTTTGGGCTCATCCTGAAATTCCCTTTTTTTTTTTTCCATTTTCCCATCGGAATTTTCCAAATATTCTGATTTTTTTTATTTTAATTTTTTTAGGAACGGCTCCGAGCTTTGGGAATTTTTTTTTTTGGAATTCAAATCAATAAAAATTTCCAGAATTTTGGGGGGAGATTTTGGTAAAAATTCAATTTTTTTTTGCAAAAAACTGCAATTTTTAAGGGCAAAAATTCCAAATTTTTTGGTTAAAATTCCAAATTTTTTTTTGCAAAAATTGCATTTTTTAAGGGCAAAAATTCCAAATTTTTTGGCAAAAATTCCAAATTTTTCTTGCAAAAATTACATTTATTTAAGGGCAAAAATTCCAAATTTTTTGGCAAAAATTCCAAATTTTTTTTTGTAAAAATTCCAATTTTGGGGGCAAAAATTCCGGGGTTTTTTGGGGCAAAATTCAAATTTTTTTGGGCAAAACTTAAATTTTCTTTTGCAAAAATTCCTTTGGTTTTGGGCAAAAAATCAAAATTTTTTGGCAAAAATTCAAATTTTTTTGTTGTGGCAAAAATTCCAATTTTTTTGGGTAAATTCTTTTTTTTTTTTCCACAAAAAAATTCCCTTTTTGGGGCAAAATTCAGGGGTTTTTGGGCAAAAAATTCAAATTATTTTTTACAAAAATTCCTCCTTTATTTTGGGCAAAAATTCAAATTTTTGCAAAAAGTTTCAAAATTTTTTGGGGGAAAAAATTCCAATTTTTGGGGGGGAAAAAATTCAAAATTTTTTTGCAAAAATTCTGGGGTTTTGGGCAAAAATTCAATTTTTTTCTGTGAAAATTCCTTTTTTTGGGGGGCAAAATTCAATTTTTTTTAATTTTTTTTTTTTTTCAGTAGGGCAAAAATTCAATTTCTTTTTGGGAAAAAAAAATCCCTTTTTTGGGCAAAAATTCCAATTTTTTTCTGGCAAACATTTGATTTTTTTCTGCAAAAATTCAATTTTATTCTTGCCAAAATTCCTCCTTTCTTTTGTCAAACATCCCAATTTTTTTTGCAAAATATTTCCCTTACTTTGGTCAAAATTTTAATTTTTTTTCACCAAAAATTCCAAATTTTTATTGCCAAATATCGCATTTCTTGAGGGCAAAAATCCAATTTTTTTTTGCAAAACATCCCATTCTTGTGGGCAAAAATCCAATTTCCTTGGGAGGCAAAAATTCAAATTTTTTTCCGAAAAAAATTCCATTTTTTCCCCGCAGAACTCCCATTTTTTTGCTCAAAAATCCTTTTTATTTTTGGTCCAAAATCCCATTTTTTTGGTGCCAAATTCCCATTTTCCCTCCGCCTTCGGCGTCGGTTTCGCGCGGAGCCTCCCGCCCTCGGCAACTCTCGGGAGCCCTCGGCAACTCTCGGGAACGCTCGGCAATTCTCGGCAGCCCTCGGCAACTCTCGGGAGCGCTCGGCAATTCTCGGGGGCGCTCGGCAACTCTCGGGAGCCCTCGGCAACTCTCGGGAGCCCTCGGAAACTCTCGGGAGCGCTCGGCAATTCTCGGGAGCTGTCGTGGGAGCCTTCGGAAGCGCTCGGGAGAGCCCTCGGCAACCCTCGGGAGCCGTCGGGGGAGCCCTAGGGGGCGCTCGGGAGCTGTCGGGAACTCTCGGGAGCCTTCGGGAACTCTCGGGAGCCTTCGGGAGCGCCCGCGGGAGCCCTCAGGAACCGGCGGGAGCGCCCTTAGGAGCCGTCGGGAGCGCTCGGCAACCCTCGGGAGAGCCGGCGGGAGAGCCCTCAGGAGCCGGCGGGAACCGGCGGGGGAGCCGGCGGAAACCGGCGGGAGAGCCCTCAGGAACCGGCGGGGGAGCCCTCAGGAGCCGGCGGGAACCGGCGGGGGAGCCCTCAGGAGCCGGCGGGAACCGGCGGGGGAGCCCTCAGGAGCCGGCGGGAACCGGCGGGGGAGCCCTCAGGAGCCGGCGGGAACCGGCGGGGGAGCCCTCAGGAGCCCGCGGGAACCGGCGGGAGAGCCCTCAGGAGCCCGCGGGAACCGGCGGGAGAGCCCTCAGGAACCCTCAGGAACCGGCGGGGGAGCCCTCAGGAGCCCGCGGGAACCGGCGGGGGGGCCCTCAGGAGCCCGCGGGAACCGGCGGGGGGGGCCGCGGGGACCCGCGGGG